AATATCTTAGACAGGGTAATTTATAAACAATAGGAATTTATTTCTCACAGTTCTGAAGGCTGCAAAGTCCAAGATCAAGGCTCCATCCAGCAGGTTCTGTGTCGGGTAAAGGCTGGTTCCTTCTGCTTCTAAGATGGTGCCTTCTTGCTGCATCCTCACATGGTGGAAGGGGCCAGTGCTGTGTCTTCAGATGGCAGAAGGGCAAAAGGGCACAAAAGGACTAACAGATTCCCTCAAGCCCTTTTATAAAGGCGCTAATCCTATTCATGAAGGCAGAACCCTCATGACTTAATCACCTCCTAAAGGCCCCACCTCTTAATACTATTGTATTGGGAATTAAGATTCAACATAAATTTTGGAGGAATACAGTCAAACCATGGCAGTTATCTTGGAACCTCTATTATTCTATAATAAACAAAAATACTATGAATTCTGTAGGATTCAGAGAGTGTAATAGCTAGAATTTTTGAAAGCTAAGGGGATGACTTTTACCTTACTGTTTGGTAAAATGTGTTCTGTGAGAAGATAATTTTTATGTTATGAACCAAAGCCACAGGATTCTGAAAAACCATATGCCTAGAGAGATAGAACACTCCTATGAATCATCTCAGAGAACCTGACAAGTAGGTAAGAGCCAATAACCTGAACTAGTAGGGGTTAAGTAAACTTCGGGTTTCAGCCAATATACGTCATCTTTGCTGTTCAAATGAATTCAGAGCTAGCAGAGGTCCTCCACTAATGTGGAGCAGACAGGTTTCAAGGGAGATCCATTAATTCACTCAGTTTTAAAATATTTATTGAGCACCTACTACTTAGGCCAGGCGCTGGGAATACAAAGATGAATAATATTCAGTCTTTGCTCTTAAAGAGCTTACATTCTATAAGACATATAGACGTATAAATGCACAAAAGTGTTACAAGTGCTAAAACAGACGTTTAGATAAGATGTAGTGAGAACATTAAAAAGGACGTGGAAAATTCTCTGTGGGGAGTCCACTAGTTCAAGAAAGACTTGGTGGAGATGTGGTAGACTTGTGGACTTAGTGGATTGACAGGTTAGCAGTAGAGGTAGGGGGCAGCGTTCCAGGCAGAGCAAAACACAGGGCAAGCGGAAACAGCATGAGCAGAGGCACAGAGGCGTGAAACTGCTTGTTCTGCTCCAAGATCACCCTCACATTCCTTTGTTTCCAGACAAGGAGGTGAAAAGGTGCAGAAAACCAGTTCATTCCCTCACGGTAGGGTATGTCTCAATTGCGAGAATATAAATCCTTGCAAAGAGAGTGTGTCCAGGCAGGGAAGCAGATTTGTAAGTTTAAATGGGAAATGGGAGCCACAAGGTTTCCTAAAGAAAGGGGCCCCGGTGGCCTGCCAAGGTTCAACTGTGCGGTCGCGGACATTTGGTCTTCACGACGCCCTGCTCCCTCTTGCCGCCCCGACGGCCAAGCCCGCGCATCTGCCAGGGATCCGCGCCTGCAAATCCAGCTCCCTGAACCTGGAACCGCCTTGCTCTCCCGCCCCAGCTCTGCAACTCGCTCGGCGCCGCCAGGAGCCGGGGGCGACCACTGCTGTTCCGCGAGAGGACCCCGGCGAGACACGCGCAGGCCCAGACCCTCGCGGCGGCCCCGCGGCGCGCGCCGCACTCTCTTGCTCGAGGCTCCGGAACCGCCGCGCCGTCAGAGGCCCGAGGGCGAGCGAGTGCCCCCGCTGCGGCCGCCGCGCGCATCCGTGTGTTTGCTCTCTACCGCGCTTTTTATTTAATCCCGGCCTCGTCCCCGTCCCCGGTTTTGAGAGGTTTCTGTCCTCGAGCTGCTTGAGTCAGGCAGTCTAACAACAGGAGTGGCTCGAGGCCTGCACGTCTGCGAGCTCCCTGGTCGCTGGACGCAAAAGGTGGGTGCGCGGGATCGAGTCTCCCCACGGACTTGCGACCCCAGTGCCGGAGGAAGGACTCACCTTCCCGGGTCCTGTGGGCCCAGTCCGGTTTCTCCTTGGGAACAAAGTTCGGGTCTGACCTCCTCTCTCAGGGCCACCGCCCCGAGGGGACCGCTGAATAGGGCGGAAAGCTGCTGCTCTTCTCCTCCCGCCCCGTTCGCATTCTCTTTGGATACAATATTTTTTTCCTTTTTGTTAAAATTAGGCAGAGAGAACGAGGTCAAGGAAGACTTTGCTCGAGCTCTTTGCCTGTCATTTGTTTAATGTAAACAAAGAGCAAGTTCTCCCGACCCCCAGCCTCTCATCCCCTCCCTCCCAGATTTTTATAAACAAACTGGGGAAGGGAGAGGGTGGGGGGTAGGGGGTAGGGGGGTGGAAGCCGAGTGGCTCGTTAAAGTGGAGACAAGAGGAACGGCGGTATTTCGGGAGCAGCGGCCATCGCTTTTTTGGTGGAACTGGAGGGTGGATGAAATATTTATAAGCCGTAAAAGAGCCTGAGCTGGGGCTTGCGGTAAAATCCTCACATCGGTCGGGTCCGTTGAAATGTAAACATGCTTCTTTCCACTCTGCCGAAGTAACTGCTTTTGGGGAAATTGTGGCAGGAGAAGAAAGAAAACCCATCCTATGGAAATTTTTCCAAATTTGGAAACCTTCAGCTACTACCTGGATTAAAAAACCAAACCAAAACAAAAACAAAAACAAAAATCCGAAAAAAGCCCTCTCTAGACCAGGATGAAACTGATATGGAAAGAAAAAGGAAACTTAGAAAACCTTTACAGTACATGTCCATGGGAAGAGTTAGACCGATTAAAATAAATCTGTGTGAAGATTTGAACTGATTTCCAACATGCGGTCACCAAAGAATTGATTATTCACAAAGGCAATTAGATGCCACCAGAATTCAGATAAACATTTAAAAAATTTTTTAAAAAACTGCCACTCCCTTAAGATTCTAAAGTGAAATTAGATAAATAAATCTCCAGATTGTTGAAACAGAATAGCTACTTTAAAATGTAATCCTTAGCATGTTAATTTAAGTAAATGGCAGACGTGGTTTAAAGGCTTTCACCAAAGCAGGAAGAAAAATTTTCCATCACTTTTTCTTCAAGCAATTAAGCATCATTTAAAAACAATTTTGTAAAGAGAAAGCTTAGTTCCCAGCAGTATTACCCTGTTTTCTCCAGACCGCAGAATGGACATTTCCTTCTGCTTTTAGGCATCATTTGAACTGGTGAGTGGGGTGGGATTTTTAGAATCTCAAATTCCGTTACATCATTCCACTAATTAGTGCTTTCCCTTCCCTCTTGGACGAAGCATCAATTTAAGAAATTAAATTTGCCAATGAACTTCTCCAAATGCTGGTTCTGGAAAGCTCCATAGCCAGGATGGGTTGAGGCTGGAGAACAAGACTGGAAGTCCCTGGATTTTTTGTTGAAGTGCAGTACTCCTTGGCAGGCTCAGGATTAGGGTGAGGCGAGAGAGGCACCTAGAGTGCAAAATTTCAGGAGGCACTCAATCTTAGGTGCCTTGCTGCACTTGCATGACTTTGAGTGTGAGTGCTTCCTTATATTTTGCACTCTAGGTGCTTTCCTTTGCCTCACTGGAATCCTGGCCTACCCCTTGGCATTCTAGGAACTACCAGGGGCTCTAGGAAACAAAATGGAGTCTTGAGGGAGCTCGACCATCCTAGCCTTTCAGGACCCACAGAAGGGCATTTGCTTACTTTTGGGAAGAACACCAGCTTGATCACAAAGACTTCCCTACTCCTTCCATCTACATCTCTTGTGAAGAAAGAGTTCTGATTTTCAGGAATTTTCTGGATAAGGGCCACTGTACACAATGACAACCATTTATAAAGCCTAAATGACCCAAATCTATTTAAGCAGTTTAGAAAACAAAAATCAACCCTTACTCATGTCCTGCATATCTTGCCATTTGACTGCTTTTTGTCTTCTGTGACTTCACTTATTTGTGTTTGGTTTGCGCTTTGGCACTTCTGCCTAAAGAAGTTAGCAGGCTTCTGATCCAAAGAGCATCTTCTAAGGACAGAGAGGCAAATTGAAGAGACTCAGGTGGGGGGTAGGGGGGGAGAGGGAAGTACAGCTCAAGTGATTTAAAGATCAATGTCAAATTTTATAATATGCAATCCGTTTCACTAGATAAAAAGCTTAGAGACCCTCTTAGAGCAAGGAATCATAGGTCTTTTTTTTTTTTTTTGGCATGTGTTTGCACACACACGCATGAAGAAAAATTAAATGCTAAGAATATTTTATATTTTTAATTCAGTCTATTACCAGGACAATGAGGCTCTTGATGGTTTGTTTCATATTTAATGTGAAGAACAGATTTTTAAAATTCCATTCATTTCCGTGCAGCCTTGTTTTACCCTCAGAATGTAACATGATTACATCCTTTCCCCCACCTCTGTATCCCTCTTGTCGAAAAACTATTTGTTTGATTAAAATCTGCTTCCACAGCAAGAAGATGCTAGCCTAGTTACTTACAACCTCTCCTATCTTCTTCTGTTGTATTTTCATAAGAACTCAATCCTAAATGCAGTATAAGCTCACTTTACCTGATCATGGGTGCCCACTGCTTTTGTATGGGAGGGGGCCTCAAAGGAGATGGAAAGCCTTTGCTATTGCAGAGCCTGTTTTTCAATTTTATAAAATAGGACTCATTACTTGACTCTCAGATTCTGGCTTCCTAAATTGTTCTTGGAAGCTGTTGATGCTTCATAAAAAAATTAGTGGCAGGTGGACATACGGTAGTTACCTGTGCTTGGGATGTGGGGAGTTGCATGACAGGGAATGCTCATGTTGCCAATTTCTAGATTTAAATATAATGTATATGTGTGTATGCATGTATGTACATGTATACATACACACATATATATGTAACGACGTAGGAGGTGGTTATGGACCTACCATCGGCTGTTTTAAAAATACACTGGGGGACTTCAATGAAGAAAAAAGATAAAGAGTAGACACCCATGAGGCCATTTACACAAGGGTCCCACCTACCTGGTAAAGGGAAGGATTTTTTTTTTAAGGAATCTGAGAGCAGCTCCCTTAATTAAGAAAGGGTGCCCGGTTGCCCACCAGGTTGTTTATTGTTTGGCTTCTTGGCACAGAACGCATCCGGGCCAGCCTTTAGAAACAGCAAGTTCCCCAAGCTACAGAGAAACCTACCGTGGCAGTCTCTTAAATAAGTAAATAAACAGCATATATATGATTTAAAAAAAAAAAACCTTTAAAGCAAAAGTTATACATATATAACAGCGTCCTTTCGACGTGAAATACCCATGGGAGACTCAGTGTAGGCGCTCAGCGTGCAATTCGGGTTCCAAAAGGCGTCTTTGTAGCAAAATCCTTAGGAAAAAGCAAAGCGAGGAAAACGTGGCTCTGGGTCAGGCCGCACCGCGGGCCCCTGTAGTTGCGGCCGAACGGCGCCAGTGGAGCCGGGTGGGCCACGGAACACTCACGGCAACCTGAACCCGCAAGTCTCTGCCCACCTGGCTTCGCCGGCTCTGTATTTGCTGGTCTCTCAACCTCTTTCTCTCCTTCATTTTGTTCATCTCGTTTTTACACCGGATTTTGTTTCTGAGGTGCTGGGTGGGTAGCTCAGATGTCGCACTCGCTGTCGCTGGACGTGATGGAGATGGCCGAAGTGGCTGCCTTGCTGGATAGACTGGCGGCCGGGCTGGCGGCGACGCCCAGCACCTCGGGCGTGCCCTCGCCGTCCGCCCGTAGCGCCCGCCCGGAGCCCTGCGACAGGACCTGCTGCTGGAGTCTACGCGAAAGGAAGGGGACACGGGTCACAGCGCGTAACACAGCCGCCCGTCGCCTACCCCCTGCTCCCCCAGTCTGCATCCCTCCAGTCCGGAGGCCAGAGACTCTTCCTCAGACCAGGGCAGTTAAGGCGGGCAAGGTGAGGAGACACAAGTCGGCCAGGAGTCCGCGGCCACCGCTCCGCGGAACCCTGCAATTGTCCTACCATCCTTTGCTCCTTTTCTAGGCTCCCCACCTCTCCGGTCTTTGGGATGCTGGGCTCGCAGGGTCTTTCCCGGTTGTTGCCCACCTTTGGGAGATTTACAGGACTGTGTAAATAGACGCGGATGACAAACAAGGACAGATCAGGCTCCAAGACACGGGACCCCTTCCCAGGGGTGCATCTGCCTGGGATGCACGCCTAAGTCAGTGCCCCCTGGGCCGCGTCAGCCCGAAGTAAAGGCAAAAAGGGTTGCCTGAGGGTTGCACCGAGCCTTTGGGCCGGGG